TTTTAACATTGTGAAGCTCTACTTAGAACCTTCTTAAGATCCAACAGAGCAAAATGCAAATTCTTGCACTTTTTTGACTGGTCTTAAGATTTTGATCAGGAGTGTATTTGTCCCTCCAAAACATTATAATCCTTTCAACAATAAGATTTTTAGTTGGCTTTTTTATGTGTATTTAGGTTGTTTTTTTTTAAGCATTAAACATACATAAAGTTGTGATTTTTCTTGTGTTTTTGTGTTCCAGTGGTTCCTCCAGATGCCCAGCAGCAGCAGCTGGAGGAAAACTCCTCTGTGGCCAACGAGATCCCAAACCCAGAACCCCCACTGGTTAAAAAGGAACAGGAAGAAACTGATATCACCAAGCTGACATTCAGTCATATCCATGTGAAAAGTGAGGAGGATGAGGAGGAACTTCAGTCTTCACTTCTTCGTCACAGGAAGACGGAGGAGAACGAAGTGACTCTGGTTGGAGAAGGCTGTGGACAATCTGAACTCACTACTGATTACAGGAAAACAAAGTCTAAAGTTGGAGTTGAGGATTTTAACGAGACCACAGACCGTGTAAATGATTCTGGATCTAATAACAGAAACGTGTTTCAGTGCTCTGAGTGTGGCAAACGGTTCGGCTCCATGAGTTATCTTAAGTTACACATAAGATGCCACACAGGTGAAAAGCCTTTCAGGTGTCCCGTTTGTAGGAAATGCTTTACGTGGAAAGGTCGTCTCCAGATACACATGAGAGTCCACACGGGAGAGAAACCTTTCAGGTGCTCGGTGTGCGGCAAAACCTTCAGTGAAAGCGGGAATCTGAAGGTGCACATGAGGGTCCACACGGGAGAGAAACCTTTCAGCTGCTCTGTTTGTGGGAAAGGTTACGCACAAAGGGGGAATTTGAAAATGCACATGACGGTCCACAAAGGAGAGACGATATCCAGATGTGGTCTGAATCGGTCGTCTCATCTTCATCACAGCCAGACCAGAGGGATGAGAAACGCCGTGATGACACCCGAATCAGCTGCAAACTCTGATGCAGAGGGGCATTTACAACCAGGCACTACGCTCAGCTGTGACCACGAGGCTGGGAACTGTGGCATCTGCAAGAAGCCATTCGGTTGCTCTGAGTGTGGGAAGAGATTTGGCTTTAAGGGGCAGCTGAAGACACACATGAGGTCTCACACAGGTGAAAAGCCCTTCAGGTGTCCCATCTGCTGGAAGTGCTTTTCATGGAATGGATGTTTACAGAAACATATAAAAACCCACACGGGAGAGAAGCCGTACAGATGCACAGTGTGTGGTAAAGGCTTTGTCGAGAGTGGAAACCTGAAGGTTCACGTTAGGATTCACACAGGAGAGAAACCGTTCAGCTGTTCAATATGTGGTAAAAGATACAGGCAGAAGGGAAGTCTGACAAAACATCTTGAAATCCACAGAGAGGAGAAATGATTCTCAGAAACCAGTTCTGAGCGTTTTCGGGGCTTCAGAGGAAACTCAGTCGCATCCTGCTTCTTCAAAACATCTGGACTAGATATTGGACCAGAAAAATCCACACTCAATACCTCAAACTAGTGTTGGGCATATGAAGAAGCTATTCTGTAGTTTGTTTAAAAAACAACAACAAAAGGTTGACTACGTAAAGCTTTGACACGTGTTTTTGGCGCCATCTAGTGGCCAAAAATACCACGACATGAAATGAACTACCTTGTGTTTGGCTGTACCACATCTGACAGCTATTTATCAATATCACGTGATATTTCTGTCTGATATCAGGATATCACTGTGGGGATTTGAACATGTATTTTTATGAGTGTAAAATTAAAGGTATGGTTATTTGATGAATGAATCTGTTTAAGCATGATGCCACTTTGCTTGTGACTTGACAGTTATTTAATAAATCATTTAATTTACATCACATTAGTTTGGATGTTTGTAATCAAGTTCCCAGTCTTTATGTAATTAAGCTTTTTTATGTGAAATCACATTTTAACTTTAATGTTTTTAATTTGCTGCTCTCTAAAGAATACAAACTTTTTGTATTGCATATTTATGATCCAAAGATTTTATGAAAAAAGAAATTTGAAAGTAGAAAATAACATTTTTGCTTCAGTTTCTGCCATCACTTTCTTCAGTGAAACTCATTTCTCTTTTCAGTGTTCGCTCCTGGTGTCCAGCGTCTGTTCATGTTTCTAGAAAAGGTTTCAGCTGAGAAGCAAATAGGAAGTTTCAGTCAAGACAATGAGAACTTTGGTCCTACTCCTGAGCCTCCAGTTCCAGATGATGGAACATCAGGATCAGGCGTGTTCGGCCAGTGAGGGACAACAATTATAATTCAAAGGATAAAAGATGCTTCAGCTCTAAACATGGAGAAAAGATYGGTTTGGGAGGACAGTCGAGGTCCTGAAATCCTTCACATCCTGCTCCTCTCCCCCCAGCTGGTCATTCTCTTCCTTTAGTGGGTGTCACTGCGTTGCTCCTGGACACGCTGAGAAAGATGTTCTGTTCTCATGGTTTCTATATTTAAGTGTCAACAGGGAAGCTCCACGCCGCTGCAGAGGTCACCTTCTGCAGGCTAACCGCTGTTAGCATGGATCCAGTTTTAACAGTGAACCCACAGCATCAGTTTGTTGCGACTTAGTTTTTACTTTAAAGATTAGGTATTCTGAATTTTTCACATTTTTTTGCAATAATCAATGCCAGTGAGTATATATTTTATTTTACTACAGAACAAAATTCGTGTTATTGTATAAAAAGTAACAGAAAAAATGTTAATTTACAAACAGCAGCGACAACACTCAGCTGGATTC